CAAACAAAAAAGCATCGTGTTTGAGTTTACTTAGCTATCTGCAAACCTATTTTGATCAACTCCCCTAACTAATGAGAATAGTAGAATTAGTAGTACAACTAGACGAAAATCGCTGGGTCAGTACCCATTTCTATTGAACTAGGCGCTTACAAAATTTTTTTTCACTATGAATAAAATCGAGCAAGCGTTGAATAGCTAACTTTAGAACTGCTTTCTATACAATAAAGCTCGTATTTTTTGAAAAAACGAAGCAAGGTTGCCTGATTTATGTGAGATCACCGCAGCGTGGTCATATCTCTCTTCACTGTAGACGAATTTTTAATCCAAGGGCACCATTCAACTCAGCGCGGCGCGGCGCATCTTCTAATATATAGAAGTGATCGCTTGGACACATTAGGAAGTCAGAATCCACGAATCGTTCTAGATTTTTGCTTACGGTAGGTTACTCAGTGTGCTTATTCGTTGCGCTCACTGGGCAACCTGCCGTAAGCAAAAATCTGAAACGATTTGTGAAATCTGGCTTTCTGCTGTGTCTAACAAGGGAATGGTCAGAAGTCGAAGTGGCCAAACCAGACAGGCTGTATATTATTCGATGCGGTATAAAACGCTGACTTCAAATCTGTCTTCCTTACCTGCTTACCGCTTCTGCGGACGAAGCTACAAGCGGTTTTATTGTCGAATCATATATAAAAACAGCGAAATTGAGCACATTGTTGTACTTTTAGCTCAGATTCTGACTTTAACAATTTGAGGTAAGCTAGCTGCATGTTTTGGCACAGCATTAAGGCGAACGTGGCTCTATACGGCTAAATTTTCAGTTTTACGCGTAATTTCTTAGCAAAATGATGGTCTTTAATGGCTTATAGCTTCATCCAGAAAAGCGATAAGCAGGTAAGGAAGACAGGTTTAGAGTCAGCGCTTCATGCTACATCTAATGGTATGCAGCTTGTCTGGATTGGCGGCTTCGATTTCTGACCATTCCCTTGTAAGCACGCATTTCTATACATCGAAAGATGCGGCGCACCGAGCTGAGTCTAAATGTGCTCTTGGACTAAGAATTTGGCCACTTTATAGCGAGATGGCCACGCTGCGGTGATGACATATGAATGGGGCCACTTCGCGTCGTTTTTTCGAAAAATACAAGCGGTATTGTAGTTGTTAAAAGATGTTCGTTTTAGTGCGTTTGAGAGTCCCATTGTACAGTAATGTCTGCTAAACAAATGTCTGATGACACATGTTTGATGTTTGGGTGTACTTTCACACTAATGTCTGGATTTTCTGATGACGCGATTTCGGAATGATTGGCGGCCGTTTCTAGTAAAACGCTTTTAAGTTTGCAAGAATAAAGCTCCGTAATTAATTCGAAGAAAATTCAAACCCTCTAAATGGCAAATATGAGAGCAAGAAATTTTTCATAGACTGTATGTATTTGATGTGCTCGACTTTCACTTCAACTCGTAATATTTGCTCTTGTTGATACAGGTTGTCGAGGTTGTTGTAGTACTTGTATGGGGATGGTATAGTTTGTAATCAAGCTGTGCACACATACGATGAATATAAACTCCCGAGACGAAGCAGAAACAGAAACGTAATATCCGTGTGTTTTAATTGTACAGGAAGCTTTAACGCATACTTATCTGATATCTTCCTTTTTAACCTTCCTGAAATCCTTTTAAGATTAAAAGATACCCTATCCTCGATCGTACAAAAACATGATATGGCTTTTGTTGTACCTACTTCTGTCATTGAAATGTTCAAATACAAGTATAAGTATAACTTCGGTATAACTTCACGTGTAATTTCTGCCACTGTTGAGCAGAAGATGAAACGTTTTCATCTTTGCACTAGGGCCCGTAGGCCTGCGTCAACTGAGATGGCTCACGTTTTCCTTTATTTCATTGAATGTGACCACAATAATCAATGTTTAAGTTTTGTGTGTTCCTATTAAGAAAAGGACGCAGTGAACAGCACGATTTACTCTGTCATCTGTAATGGAAAGGAAACATAACACAAGACGTTTCAAGCTTTCGGATTGATCTCTCTCATTTGCTCAGGAAAAATCTCCAGAAATGCAAACCTCGCTTGCTCTTAGCCACTATTCCTTAGTTCTAGAAGCGCTTACGAAATGGTATTTAACCTTCAAAAATTTCATGGAAAAGCACATATGGAAAGCAAACATGTTTTCAAGTGCTTTGTTAGATGTAAAATAAACTCACACTTCCAAACTCTCAATGCTCGACTGATTGCTCTCTATTTTGGCATTAAATATACTTATGTACTTGTTGAGTAGGTATCTGTTCCCGACCAGCCTAACTGATTACTACGAACCCAGAGCAACTTGCTGTAGAAGTACCTCCTCTAACTTCTTTCAAGACACGTTTTTGAGATACAAAAAGCGAGTTTAGAGTTGGAGTTGTATCAGCTTTTCACTGTCATACGTATCCATCGCAGTGAGTGCCTTGTAGAGGTCCTAGCCCCACTACTTGTACATCTTGCTGAAAACTTATGTGACATTCCTCCACAATCAACTTACTAAATACTCGCTTATATTCGAGTTTTGCTGAATCTGCTCAAGAAAGAAAGAGGCTGATATCGCTTATGTTCATTGAATTTGTTAAATAATGATGATTACAGAAACTCCAAAGTTACGAACAATATGCTCTTCTATAAGGTGCTGCTGTTTGCACTTGTGGCATCTGTGTATGGTAGATCTATTTTGGGTGGATCATACGGAGGATATGGTGGATACGGTCCCACTATCGGCATAAGTAGCATACACAGCGGACCCAATAGTAGGATAAGTGGCTTGTACAGTGCACAAAACAGCGGATCTAAATACAAATACAGCAGTACAAATTCTAACAGAGGAAATACCGCCGGACTACTGAGTGTAAGAAGTTTGCATTAACACTAAGTGAATGTTTCTACAAGTTTTGCTTTTCAGTGCGCAGATGACTGTCAGAAGAAAAACGTTCGTAATAATGGAGGAGCACAAGGATGGACTAAAGCAAAGGGTGAAGCCAACGAGCATTGCTATAATCAATGCCTAGAGAAGAATGGTTTTCCAGTAAAGGATAAGCATTGAACTTGCATAGCCCTTGCTGAAAATAAATTTTTATAGTTTTGTGTACAATCTGAATAATTATTACCTAGAAACTGGGATTTCTCATACCATCATAGCTTTTGGCAAAGTGCTATAGAGCCTAGCCTTTAGAAATTGAATTCATTTATAAGTGGCCCTATCAATCGTAAATATAAATAACCTACGAAAGCAAGCGTCTACACTCCAGCACCGGTGTGAGGAATATTATTTACTAGCTGGCTTACCCGGCTCCGCCGTATCCGGACCAAACTTGGCACACATACACTTCGGGCCCCGGCGGGTGTCACAGTCCACTTTTCGTTATCGATCGATGTCGATTTTACCGATTTTTATCGATTTTTTTGCAGAGTTCACCTACAGGGCTAGGAGTTGACACAGGGGGGAAGTGAGCATGGGGATTCCGAATACAATATTAGTTTTCAGAATTATCGATTACTTTTATTGATTTTATCGATTTTTTGTAAATTTTGACATGCGAGGCTGGGATTTTGCACAGGGGGTAATCGAGCATGCTGATTACGAACACAATATTAGTTTTCAGGATCGTCCATTACTTTTATCGATTTTATCGATTTTTTTGTAAAGTTTGACCTGCGGGGCTGGGAGTTTGCACAGGGGGGGTAATCGAGCATGCAGATTACGAATACAATATTAGTTTTCAAGATCGTCCATTAATTTTATCGATTTTATCGATTTTTTGAAAATTTGAGCTAGGGGGCTGGAATTTGGCACGGGGGTGTAATCGAGCATGCTGATCACCCCCTTGGGGATGATCAGCATGCTCGATTACCCCCCTGTGCGAACTCCCAGCCCCCTAGCTCAAATTTTCAAAAAATCGATAAAATCGATAAAAGTAATCGATAATCCCGAAAACCAATATTGTATTCGGAATCCCCATGCTCGATTACCCCCCTGTGCGAACTCCCAGCCCCGTAGCTCAAACTTTGCAAAAAAATCGATAAAATCGATAAAAGTAATCGATAATCCCGAAAACCAATATTGTATTCGGAATCCCCATGCTCGATTACCCCCCTGTGCGAACTCCCAGCCCCGTAGCTCAAACTTTGCAAAAAAATCGATAAAATCGATAAAAGTAATCGATAATCCCGAAAACCAATATTGTATTCGGAATCCCCATGCTCGATTACCCCCCTGTGCCAACTCCCAGCCCCGTAGCTCAAACTTTGCAAAAAAATCGATAAAAGTAATCGATAATCCTGAAAACCAATATTGTATTCGGAATCCCCATGCTCGATTACCCCCCTGTGCCAACTCCCAGCCCCGTAGGTGAACTCAGCAAAAAAATCGATAAAAATCGATAAAATCGATATCGATCAATGACGAAAAGTAGCCTATGACACCCGCCGGGGCCCGTAGCGTATGTGTGCCAAGTTTGGTCCGGATCGGTTCAGAAATGGAATTTTCTATTCGGAACATACGTACAGACAGACATACAGACAGACAGACAGACAGACAGACATACAGACAGACAGACAGACATACAGACATTCAGCTTTATATATAAGATAAGGCGAAAAGCGATGGGACGTCTAATCTATTGTTTTATTTGCTATATTTGAAGCTTCACTGTCACTTGATTGAAACATGGCATACAAATAAGAAACGACCATGGATAACACTGCTACTGATGTTACCGCTGCTACTGCTGTTAAAACTGTTGCATAAATATAGGACTGATCTACACTACGGTCTTAATCCTGCGTATGAATTCTCATCTGTTGATCAGTCAATGGCAAAAGCAGTAACAGCGGTAACAGTGGAATGTATAACAGACTTTGTGCTGGACTTCTGACTTCCTTATTTTATCGGTATCATTGAGTGAATGATGTCACTACACAAGAAAACACTCTCTTTACTTTTCATTTCTAACTAGATCGCACAATGGACAGCTGTACGATGGACTGCTCCTACTTCACATCCGCTCTACTCGGTCATTACATCTTTGCCAGAATCACGCCAAGGGACGCTTTTGTAAGCTACTGAGTTTGAAGAGACTAATCTGAGTAACTCAAATTTATAGATGTGCAAAAACTTGAGAGCAAGATCATTAGAACACCACAGGAGCAGGGTGAATTAGTTTGCTACAAACTGTAATTCCAAATTTCCCAAACTTTGATTTAGAAAAATCATCGATATACAGCGTGCTTTTGGTCCATTATCACACTGGCTATAGAAGAAGTAAACAAATAATTAGTGGTAAAATAAATGGTGAAAATTTTTGTCTAATGTATTTTCCCACATAGCTCAGAAAACCTCTATGTGATTTGCAGAATAAGCTTCAAAGTCGTTTTCTGACCCTAAACTGCAAAACCAGTCCTACTTTGAGTTATTCTCATCTTATCAATTCATTGAACCATAGTGAAGACAGTGATGAACGAACTGAATTTTTTTTTGTTTTACTTCACTTCGTATGTTTCTTCCGCCTCATCAAACTTTGTGCATCGATCCTAGCTCTTCAATACTATGCGAAATTCTAGATAGCTGCATAGTGGACTGCGGCAAAAGCCCAGATATAAGAATAACTTGCTGAAAAAAAGCTAAGGGTTCCCATTTGCCTCCTTGTGACGTCAAAAGGAGGCACGGGCTCGCAAATGTCACGGGTTCGCAAATCTCTGCTCCGGGGGTGCGCCAGATTTGGAGGAGCCCCCAGAGCACCAAAATTGGTTAAAAGGGAGGGCTCCGGAGCACGAGTGGCAGACCCCCGGCATCTACCCTCCGGAGGTATGCCTTCGATTGTCTGAGAACATCATTTCAGCAAATGAGAAAAACCAATGCCAGTGAGGATCTCATCTTCGTTTTAGAGTGGTGCGCTCGTCTTAGTGTTACCTAACATTAGGAGTATACAGTACTCTATATTGATATAGCTTTATAGTATTTGCGTATGAATTGGCTAAACATGCTGTGTCTAGTGTACCTGAAGTGCGACAGCCATATTTACTATGTGGCAAGGGTATTTTATCGCTAAGTACAGAAACGGTCAGATTTCAAATTCAATCTGTGCACACTTACAGACCATATAAATTCCTGTTGAAGCCCATGCACAGACACATGTCTCTTTCTTCAATCACCAAGAGATTTTAGCAGCGTTCCTTTTACTCCTACTCCTCATCCTTCAAACTTTATATCATACTGCAGATAACGTACCTAGTACTATTAAATGTATACAACAAAAGATTTGCCTATGCTGTACCTGACTGCAGCATCACCTATGATGTTGTTGAATTCAAGACTAGCTACACAATGGTTAAGTTGTATGAAATTCGCGTTTTTCTCTCACATTTTCAAAAATTTATATCCCACGGAGTGATATGCACTTGCCCATCAAGCAAATTCTACTGCTTTGCAGTCAAAATTTTATTAACCATCGATGTTTTGCGACTTCTAAGCAGAAGGATTTAGTTGCTTTTGGCACAGGAAGCGTCTTACTCGAAAACTTGAAATTTTGGGTACCATCTCACAATTAAAACCACGGTGGATTCCCTATGAATGTTCATCCAAGTTTATGGGCCTGTTCCGAGTCTTTGGACCGATACTAGCCACAATATTGATTCTTATTATTTTTATAGTCGTCCTCACCGCACTAGTCGCTAGGTGAGCGAAATCAAATTCGAAATTGAGCAGCCAGTTGTGGAGCGCGGTACTTTCAGCCCTCTCCAGCTGAAGCGTGTTCTTTCTCCATTTTTCTTTGTCCTTACATGCTATTTCTTCTGTGCTAACAATGCATAGGATTAAAATGATGGTTCTGTTGTTTTTGAACGATTTTTTGAATCCAATTTAGGTGAGCCTATATAAACATGGCTGATGGGGATTTTGTGACATAGAGAGCACTAAAGCAGCAGTGCAGCATATAGTATTTATCAAAAAGAAACTTACGAGCAAAAATGCCCAATCCCAATCGCTCATCACCTGAAAAAAGAGAAAAAACGAGCATAAAGTATGAAACATTGCCTCAGTTACAAAAAAAACTGTTGACGAACAGTGTTAACACACAGAGAATAGCAAAATGATGAAAAAATAAAAAGAAAGCATGCATAGGTTTGAAAAGGCCGAAGAAGCCGCGCTCTACGGCAACCAGGTGCTCAAACTCGAATTCGGATTTGCCCACTTAGCGACTAATGGGGCGACGACGATACGCATATCCTCATGTTCTGCTGAATTCGAAAATACTAATTGGCAAGGAAAACACAATGTCGCGGACCGATTCTGTACAAGAAATAAACCGAATGCGTGGACAACGTGCTTCCGGCACAAGTCGCAAGAGCGCAATTAGGGTAAAGTCGACAGCACGAAATCGCCCATATCCCTGTAGGCTGGACGCACGCGAGCGTACTGCAACGCGGCTGCCGATTATAGGCGTTATGATGACTCGTGCGCGCGAATGCCAATGTTAACTCCAAGAGACACACTCGTTCGGCGTTCTGCATGGGCCGTTCCGTGCATTCAACTATATCATTTTTGTAGCCTCAATAACACAAAATCTGCGCAATGTTGATCTTTATACAATGTATTGTGAATACGAGACAGATTCATTTGAGGAAGTGGCTCGGAGCCACACTGTCGGTTTGGGAGGAATATTAACGACAGAGGAAATCAGGCCACACGCTAGATTTACATCTGCCAAAAAAGCAAAATATGGTTTTGTGATTACAACTTAGTTTGGTCTCATCGACTTACATCCGCCACTCGTATAAAGCGCATAAATGGATGTAATCAAATATCTAAACTACCAAATCAAAATTTTACGGGCAGTTTGTTAAACACACCTACTCCAATCTGCGGTGCGAATTTATACAAATTTTCGACTATACTGTTAATTGAATTTCCATTTCAATTATTCAGAATTTTGCAATCTCGCTGGCAGTAGCATCCGTTTTTTTTTGAAAGTATGGTTGTGTACTAAGTCGTTCACACTTTTTGTTTTAGTTATTTCTCAATACTTTGCAAAGCTTTTGTCAAAATGTTTGTATGCCTCCAGAAGTTCTTAGCCTGCTCCACCAATTTATTATCATTATTTTCTCAATTTCCTTAAGGTTGATTGAAAAATTCGAGTGCAAACCGAAAAATCTCATTGTCAACGGGTGAAAAATCCATTTTCGACATCTTTCTCTCTCTTAACTTTCTCCGTCAAGCATTGAAAAAATCATTCAAAATCCTGACAACAATTGAAAACAGACTTATCACTTATGCATTTACTGCCACTGTTTATGCTTCGACCGTTTGATGCCATTTTTGCAAGAGTAGGTATAGCAAAACTTGGTCGCAACTCGTTCGTTATTTCGCGTACCCAAGCAGCGTGTCCCCAAAATCCGAGTTTTGGAGTAAGTAATCTACATTTGATGATTTAATGGTCAAAAACTACCTTGTTTGCTAATTCTGTATTGTTCGGTAGTCATGCCTTCTCAAGGTACCTTCAAATGTCCAACGCTGACGCCGAGGAGACGGCAAAAAGCAGACCTGTCTTCAAGCTTATGATACAACTTTTTGAGAAATCAGCACTTGTTAGTAAGGTGCGGAAGCTAGAGCATTCTATCCGTACACGTCGCAGATTTTGAGGGTTTCGACCCATTTAAAATGCAGCTCAACACAGCTGACAAAAATGGAGTTTTCGCTTTTTCAGATTTTTGAGTTTAATATCATTCGACTTTCCAAAAACTGACAAAACATTGATGGCAGTATGGTAGAGCAGACTTGAAGCTTCCGAATGTATGCTAATGTTTTCCCATATGCTTTGCAAAATATTGAGAAAAAATAAAACAAAAAATGCGACCTTATAACTCAACCTAATACATAGCGTTTGCAGACTTAGAATAGGTTCAAATTCAGCTATTACTGCATCTCCATTTTTACCAGTACGTTTGAAGCGTTGACCCAATCACTTCTAAAAATCACTACTGAGATATACATCTCCTCATTTATAAACTATGTGATTCCACAATATCCAAACAATGTTCTAAAAGCTATCCTCGTAAATGCTTAGAAACAAGAGATGTGTTGAGATATCCAGTTATCATACGCGTCTTCAGAGACAGCTATTCCTGATCAAAACAGAACAGAATGCCTTTTCTAAAAGCCTTCTCTGCCCTTATATTTAAATTACTCCAAAGCAGCAACTGCGCTAAACTGACATTGGTATCTGAAAGCCAAACTCGCAGAGGATTTTCCAGTTCAGTTGATTTTTTAGAGGCAGCTTCTGAGGTGCACAGCAGAATGTAGAGATTTTTATCAACCAGTGTTCATATGTCCTCCCTAGAGGTCAATGTCACAAACATTACTCATCCAGCAACTCTTCAATACACATGAATACTTGTTCTGCTAAAACTTACAAATTGGGAAGAAACTTGATATTACGGTATATTTATGAATCCCGTCAATGCAGTTTACTTATAGAAACTAAAGGTTCACTGTGAACAGGATGCTCTTCCATAAACTGTTACTGTTTCTACTTGTGATATCGGTGTGCGCCTTACCCAAAGGCAAGTTGGCTAGCAGCAAAATATTTGGAAAAGGAACGATCAGTAGCGGGAACATCAACGGAACGAGAACATTCGAAGATGTTAGGAATTTGCCCTAACATTTTGCTATGAGTTTCGGTTATGAGGTTTGTTACAGTGTATAAATGATTGCTACGAAGAGACGCATAGAGAAGGAGTATGGACGAAAGAAAAAGGTGAAAAAAATGAGCGTTGCTACGATCAATGCCTGGTGGATTTTTACGGAATGATAAAACAGCACTGAAGTTTCGATCTTCAGCCCTTCTCTTTCAACAATAAACTCTTTTCTTCAAAAGTGCGATTGTCTGTACAAATATCGTAGGTGGCACATTTCTCAGAGTATTCTCTCAGAGATTTGCTGAGACGTCATTTTTTCAATGTTTTTCAAATAATTTTTCGAAATGGTGCACTCATACGTTTTCGAGACTGGATACAAGCGAATCGTATGCCATCCATCCTCTCTGCAAAAGTCCCATTTTGTCAGGATAAAAAGTTATGAAAGTGTGACTGTAGTAACAATGCTGCAGATCATAAATTAGCACCATTTCTGTGGTAGAACAATTTACTTTTCGGACTCACATGGGCGAAAGCATCGATTTCATACACAGTTCAATTGAGAGCATATAGCGAACCATTGCTGATATCATGTCATCTATACAAATATGAAGCTGATTGTTGGTAAGTTGTTAGTTAGTGTGTTCTTTATAGAAAACCTTGTGTGTGGACCGATCGGTGTCAAACTTTGCATGAGTATGTTTTCGACACCGTTCCACCCCGTAGGCTATTTCGTACCGAAACTCCTGCTCTATCTATTAATTTATCGATTTTGACTGAAATTGAACTCTTATCAAGTGTTATCAAACCACTTCCAACTTCCGTGTAAACAAAAACGGTAGAACACATTTTCATTTTACAATGAGGAAGGCGTCGAAAGCGATTTGGTTCAGAAGGCCTCTGCCCTGCGTTAAGGGCCGGGCATACTTCACGCGACTACAGTCGCGACGCGATTTGGCAATATTCCAACTGTCCATAATTCACTGCGAACACGTTTTTAATGTACAGAAGATAGGGCATTCTAATCAATCTACGTAAGTTATACACACTATGCATGTGCAGTTTGCTAGTATTGGATCTGAAGACTTCTGGCGGACTGCCAAATCGCGTCGCGACTGAAGTCGCGTGAAGTATGCCCGGCCCTTTACAGAGTAAAAGGGAACCGAAACGCAGATAAGTTCAGCCTTTATGAGCACCAAATTTGTTTGTTGAGCCAGTCAAGAACACGATGCAGGCGAAGCTGGTCATACCAGCTAGTGAGCTTCAGCTGCAATAACGGGCCTGTGTGTGTGTGTGTGTGTGTGTGTGTGTGTGTGTGTGTGTGTGTGTGTGTGTGTGTGTGTGTGTGTGTGTGTGTGTGTGTTGTTAAGTGATCCAATCAATCATGTAGTGACATCAATGATGGACAAATCTCTCAAACGAATTCTGATGACTTTTCTGTTCTACGTCACTTCGCATGTTTCTCTCCCCCCCCCCCCCCCACATAACTTCATACTACTGATCGACCCTAGCTCTTCAATACTGTGCAGATTTTAGAAAGTTGCGAAGTTGAATGGGGTAAAAGGCCAGATATAACGCCGAAAAATTTGCTAAAAAAACTATAGACTCCCTACCGAATAGAATATTCCATTAGTTTGACTCGAGCAAGTAGATTGAACTTGATTGTCGTTGTTACACACCTTTCTAGATTCTGGTATAAGCTTGCACTACTGGGGAATTGTAGAGAAAAAATCAAGAATAATCTCAATCCTTTGATTATCTGCGCATACATATTCGCAAAACAGTATCAGATCCAAAACAAAAAGAACAGAAAAGCAGCAGTTGAGATTCACAGTCCCCGTGCTAAAATGCCGGTTTCTTCTATAAGGGAACTTTGCAGAAATCACTTCCCCTTACACACACTCGGAGTAGGGAATCAGAACTAACCTACCCAGAACTAAGCTGACCAATTTGAGATGACGAACGATTCCGTCGGGGACCGTTTACCGTATACTTGCCAATTACAATATTACACCTACTGAAAATCTAAACAAGGACTTGGTAAAGACTTTTGGAAATTGAAGAATGTAGTCTACCTACTTCACTATCAAAAATGGTGAGTTCAATTGAGATATGAGGCTACGGACTCATTCCGGAGCATCACAAGTCGCATCTTCGTGAGAAGTGCGGTTATCGTGTATCAGGCTTTATTAGGACGGAGAATTGAGTAAGTTAATCAAGTCGGGTTAACGCTGCTGTGTAAACATCCAGCCCAACCTGCATTTAAAGAAGTAAAAATAGTGTCCACTTCCTCTGTCGTATACTGAACACATTGAGGATATCATCTTACTTTTACCTACATAGAAGTGCGACAAGATCTACAAAATATGAAAGACCTGAACTAAATGATGACGCTTCCTTGCGCTTGGTATTTCATATGATGGCAGGTTGAGCAGTAAACAATTTCTACTACAACATCGGTATTTAAAAGAGATCAAACTAAACACATTCTATATTTTATACTCTACCGTACCAACCTAGTTGACAGATTATTGGGCTGTCAAAAAATATTGGTGCTCTCTGTTTGCTTGCCATGGGACAACGATCAGGCAAGCCGCCAAAAGTGCAAGAGGGGAACTTTTATACAGAGCAAAGCAAGCTCTACAGACCGGATTGCGCCGAATTTAATCAACGCGAAGTTTGTATTCAAAATCTAGAAAGCTCTAAATGTCCAAGAAATCAGAAAAATCTAAATCCAAAATCTGAAACTGAATAGTTCTGAAAGTCCGGATGAAAAAAATAAGATTTCCGTCAAAAATACGAAATCCGTCAAAATATTTTTTTTTGCTAGAGACTGAGAAAACAAAAATTTTCGTGTTTTTCTCAAAACATTCTTGGGTTATTCTTTCGAAAGTGATTCTATCTAGGTATAGCTGTTTGTAATTCTCTAGCCTTTTACGAAAACTAGCTTGGCTCGTAAAAAAATCTTTAAGTGGTAGAAATTTTGGTTTTAACGCAGAAAACTAGCGCTTGCAAGCGGCAAAGGAATTACGGTTTTAGTTATAGAGGCATGTAGTTTAGAATTATATAAGCAAGAAATGCTCAGCGTGCTTTGTGAGAAAATACGAAAATTTATGTTTTATCTTTGGAAAAAAACAGCAATTCTATAATGAATGTATGATGTCGATACTATAGATGTATGCGGGTGGGAGATCCGTAGGAAATTTTTGGTCAGCAATCCGATTTTTTTTCAATTTTTTATGCATTTAAAACTCGATAGTCTCAAACTTCACTTGGAGCAAAAGTGGAATGAGTGCATGAATGCTTGTCTTTAGAGCTTCTTTTGGTCTAGGAAACGCTATCCCTCATGCATTTTTGGCGTACGCCTAGTTACGATGCTATGGCTCACAAACGATAAAAAAGTAAATGGCCATGATTCACTTATTTGATTTTTTGGACGTAAATGTGCTTGCATCAGCAATTTTGCGCTTGCGCTAAAGTTTCACCTAGATGCAGCTATGAATCATTTTTTGGAAGTGATTGCGACGTTCAAATTTCGCTCTTGCAAAGGCAGAAACATTTTTTGTGTTATTGCTACTTTTTACTCGTGCACGGAATACCTCACATGTCAATTAACTGCTTCTGGCTTTTTAAGCGAGTTCAGCTCAGACGTCTTCAAATAATATTATTAGGTTGTCCCGAAAGTTTTGTCCGTTTTTTCAACCTAACATAAAAACGCGTGGAACGAAAATAGGGGAACGCTCAAAGCACTATCCGACGCACCTTTTCCTTCTCTTTCTAACCGTCATGCTTCCATGCCGATTAATCTTTTGTTCACTGAGATAAACGCCGAAATTTCGAACCCATGGTTTTTACTATGTCCAAGTTTGGCAATTTTTCACAATCTTTATTTTTGACTTTCGGAAAAGCTTTAGCAACGCTTAGATAGAGCAAACAAAGGGCAATATAATGCAATTTGCATCTATAGCCAGCCTTGAAAATTTTTTAGGATTATTTTCCTCATGCTATCAAATCCACTTTTGGTGATGCCAAAAGCCAGAGATCATGAAACGGCGCACAACTAAAGTGTTATTCGATGCAGCTTTTCCTCCTCTTTCCAGCGAGTGTATTTTCTCTCCAATTTGCGGGGTCTTTGGCGATAAAATTTTCATAATTTTTGAATTTGACCCCACCCCAGCTGTACACGTAAAATGCAAAATCTTATATTTCGAAGCGGTAAACGCTTACTTGCTTCGTAAAAATAGTGAATAATCCTAATCGGTTTTTGAAAGCTTCAAAATCCGATGATTTGTTAGTGTTCGAGGCGTTTCTGTATTTTGGGACTTCGCAAAAGTGAAGACTTTTGAAAAACCATCTTAAAAAATACTGAAAAGCTAGCTGGACAAGCCAAAAAATTGCATTGCATTGCCCTTTGCTTACTCTATCTGAGAGCTATCAAAGGTCTTCCAAAAGTTGAAAATGAAGATTGTGAAAAATTGTCAAACTTGGACATAGTAAAAACCATGGGTTCGAAATTTCGGCGTTTATCTCAGTGAGCAAAAGAGTAATCGGCATGGAAGCATGACGGTTAGAAAGAGAAGGAAAAGATGCGTCGGATAGTGCTTTGAGCGTTCCCCTATTTTCGTTCCACGCGTTTTTATGTTAGGTTGAAAAAACGGACAAAACTTTCGGGACAACCTAATACAAACGACGAAATGAATTCTGACTCACGCTCCTGTAACGACCAATTGAACAATGTAAGTTGGCATTTGTCTATCCTGCAAAAAATTTCTACGTCTATCAGCAATTCCAAAAATTCAAATTCAGCTCACCCTGGAACGCAATGTGTTTTTTTACTCTTATTTTCTGTAGTAAGATTTAGCTGATTTATCAGTGCCATGATTTTGGCTACCTTAAAACAAAAAGAAAAATCGTGATCACCAATGTTCTTTGTTCTTGCTAATGAGTCAAGGCAGAATTAAAAACAGAGTGCCGAGACGGAGTAAAGACAATGTGTCCCAAAAAATGTACCTACTGCTTGACTTTTAATAACTCTCTTGTAATGAAATCTTTCGAAAAGCTTTAGCTACAATTTACAGAAACGAATCACCCACCTTTCTCTATTACTATAGGATTACGGTAGAAACTTCAAAGACGGTTTTAAGCCATAAAAGGCCATATTTTGCTTCAGAGAGGAAACAAAAAGCCTGG